GCATCTCTCTCTGATAAGGGGGGGACTACTGTACTCTATTATTTATTAAATTGAAAGATAACACCCTGAATTCCCTTGTGAGAAAGCAATCTATTGTAGAATTATAGCACTTGTAGATTCTTGGTATAAGTCATGACAGTGGTATGAATTGGGGCTCACAAATAACAATACGTCCTTTCTGTGCCTATGGCTCCATCTGTTCCTGTCATTACCTTCTTCCCATATGGCCCTGGAGTGGCCTGTCTTGACTTTTCTCCTGCCTGTGTCTTGTCTGGAAGCTTCTACAGTTTGAACAAGCCTCCAGAATCTGACATTTCCCTGTAGAGAAGCAGTTCTTTTTGTAATTTGAGGCCCAGGAAAAATCAGTTTTCACTGTACATCTTGTGATATTGTGATTTATAATAAGAAATATGAATCTGGTCTTCATAAGCCTTCTGGCACAGAGCTCATAAAACCCTTGCAATTTCCTCATTATTGAGAGTGATAAAGGCGGTTTTTTTTTCTTTTAAAAAATTTTTATTGTTTAAAGTATTACATATGAATCCTTTTTTCCGCCATTGACCGCTCCCCACTAGTTCCCCTCCTCACCCCGCACATGCCCTCATCCCCACCCCCCCATTGACTGTGTCCATGGGTTATGGTTATGCTTATATGCATGCATACAAGTCCTTTGGTTGATATCTCCCCCCTTTTTCCTTCCCCCTACTTCTTCCCTTTCTCCTGAGGTTGGATGGTCTGTTTGATACTTCTGTGTCTCTGAATCTATTTTAGTTCATCAGTTTATGTTGTTCATTATATTCCATAAATGAGCGAGATCATGTGATATTTATCTTTCTCCAACTGGCTTATTTCGCTTAGCATAATGCTCTCCAGTTCCATCCATGTTGTTGCAAATGGTAAGAGTTCCTTCTTTTTTACAGCAGCGTAGTATTCCATTGTGTAGATTTACCACAGTTTTTAATCCACTCATCTGCTGATGGGCAGGCACTTAGGCTGTTTCCAAATCTTATCGATTGTAAATTGTGCTGCTGTGAACATAGTGGAGGCTTTGTTTCATAGGCATGGATGATTCAGTCACAGGCCATTAGCAACTGATTCAACCTCCAGCCCCTATACTCTCTTGTTGAATAAAGGTGCTTTTGTTACGTTAATGAGGTGACTTTTGAAACTCACCTAAGGGTGGGGTCTGGTTGCAGGAGAATCAACCCTGTGATTAGAGCAGCCCTGGGCAAACTAATAAAACTAAAAAAAAGAAAAAGACCATATCCTTTTATGTAATGATGTTTACTTTGAATTTATATTAATTCACACAAACACTCCATCCATGCTTTTGTTCCGGCCCTCCGGTCCAGTTTAAGAACCCATTGTGGCCCTTGAGCAAAAAGTTTGCCCACCCCTGGATTAGAGGGGTTGGAACTTTCAGTCCAGGGAGAGCAGAGGGGCTGGAGGGTGAATCAGTTGCTAATGGCCTGTGACTTAATCATCCATGCCTATGAAACAGAGCCTCCATACAGACCTCAAAGGACAGAGTTGATGAGCAGGATGAGATCTGGGGAGAGAGTGGAGCCCCTGGAGAGGGCATGGAAACTCCCAGCCCCTTCCCACATACGCTGCCCTATGCGTCTCTTCTGTCTGGCTGTTCCCGAGTTACATCCTTTTATAATAAACGGTGATCCAGCAAGTAGAATGTTTCTCTGAGTTCTGGGAGCCACTCTACTAATTGAACCTGAGGCGGTGGTCTTGGGAACCTCTGCTTTATAGCCATTGGCTAGAAGTACAGGTGACAACCTGGGCTTTCAGCTGGCATTTGAAGTGTATGTGTGTGTGTGGGGGTGGGTGGCGCGGTTTGGGGGCAATCTTGTAGGACTGGATTCTTAACTTGTGGCATCTGAGTTGAATTGTAGGACACCAGCTGATGTTCTGAGAATTGCTTGTTGGTGTGGGGACACCCCCCGCCCCCCCCACCCCCCGACATTGGACTTGGTGGCCAGAACAAAATTCATCTTCATTTTTCTTTTCTTCAACATGAGTCAAATAAGAGGATCCTTTCTGAAATTTGTCTCTTTTATGTGCCTCAGATGTAATAAGTCACACGTCCTGCAACAGACAGATTGTTTTCAGGAAGCATTTCAAGGGGAAGAGACAGAGGCCGCTGGGAAACCTGGGAAATCTGAAGTAATCCAATTGAAAAGAGATCAAATTAATAGGAAATGAAGGAGCATGGCAGCTTTAGAAACAGGAGTAAATCAGAAGATGAAGCAGGATGAGGAAGTAAAAATTAATCTTTTCGTGCCGAGTGCCCAGAGAACCCCTCACTGACAACAAAAGTCGTGTTGCATTTACTTGAGCATCTTCCCTATTATTTTCTGTGATATTTACCTGCTAACATGGTATTTTGGGAGAAAGAAATATCAACATCCCAGAGTATAACTGCCCCTGCCCTCACTTGTGCCTCAACTCGGCACAAGTTGACGACACATGAAGTTTCATACCCTTTACTTCCAGAGAGCAGGCTGTCATTGAATAGAATTTTTGTCTTTTCAGTTTTTTAGAAAAATCAAATTTTATGCTAATAACAACACTACGAACAGGTACTGTGAAGTACTTTACACATGTTATTTCACTTAATCTTCATAATAAATGAATGCGGTGAATGTGGTAGCTGGCGTTCGCGATGACTCCCAATTGTCCTCACTTCCTGGTAGTCACGTCCTTATGTGGCCTCTCCCACATGGACTAGGGCTGATCTCTGTGACCAACAGACGTTGCCGAAGTGATGGCGTGTGACTTCTGTGGTTACAGAGGACACTGTGGCTTCTCCCACGGTTTCTTGGACTGCTTGCTCTGGAGGTGTAGCTGGTCATTGTGCCGCGAGGGCACTCGAGCAGCGCCGAGGAGAGGAACCAAGGTCTCGTACCAACAACCAGGACTAACCTGCAGGTCGAGTGAGCCCTATCAGAGGTGGATTTTCCTGCCCTAATCAAGCCTTCAGGTGGCTTTAACCCTTGCTGCCATCTTTGACTGCAACCTCTTAAGAGACCCCAACCCAAATCAACTAGCCCAGACGCCTTTCAATTTCTTGAATCATAGAAACTGTAAGAAATGAGAAATTTTATATATTTATTAAAAAAATATATATTTTTTTTAAACTACAAAGTTTTGGGGCAATTTGTTACTCCATTATAGGAGGAGGAAACTGAAGCTTGGGAAGAGTAAACCTCATGTTACAACTTTGGAATAGATTGAAAATATAATATTTAAATTCTAATCTTCTCCTTGTGTCCTCAACTTCATTTTAATCTTAGCTCTATAAGCAAACGCAGGAAATGTTCATTGTCAGTGCTTTTGCTGAAGTTCTCCAGTCACCTTTTGGCTGGATGAAGCCTGCTTTCTAGTAGATGCCTCAAGAAGGGAACAACTTCACATGCGTTTTTGCATGTTCAAAATTCCTTTTCTGTCGTCTTAATAAGCAAAGAAGAGCTTTGACGCATATAAAATTCTTGGCTTACATATGTTCAAGTTTTGGGAAGATGTTGCTCCTCTGTTTTGCCATGTCACAGGTTGCTTTCTCAAAGTTCAATGACATCTCATTCTCTTGTCCTTGTAAGTTATTTTACCTTTTTTTTTTTTTTTTGCATGGAGTCTATCAGGAGTTTAAAAACGTTAAAGTCTGATAGTTTTGCTAAGATATGACTCAGAGCTTATCATTCTGGGTCAGTTTTCTTGGTTACCTAATGGTCCCTTATGACCTTGGATTATAGTTTTAAATATTAGTTCCATTTCAGTACTTTGTTTTTCTTCTTCTTAGGCTCCAGCATGTTAGACCTTCTTTGACTGTCTTCTATTTCAATCATTTGTTCTTTATAATCTTTTTTCCTTTTTAAAAATTTTACATTTATTTCCTTGGGTGTTTTACTGCTTTACTTCAATGTACCTTATTACTTTTCATTCAAATCTGTTTTCCTGTATGCACCTTTTCCCCTTCCATTTTGGTCTGGTAATGCCTTACTGTCTTGTGAACTTTTTAATGATTTTAAGGTTTTCTATTGGATGTTGTATCAAGCATTTTTAGTTAGGAGTTTTGTTTGTTTATGTTTTGGTAAAGGGATGAATAACTTAGCCTGCTATTACTGAAAACAGAAATCCCTACTTAGTCATAAATGGCCCCCAAACTTGCAAGTGCCCTGCCAGAAGTATAAAGAAGGATATGCGAAGGAGAGATGTCACATTTCTTTGATTTGTAGGTATTGGGTGGCTGTTTAATGCCTTATTTATGACTAAGCATTGCAACTTTTCTGGGAACTTCCCATTTCCCATCTCATCTCATGCTGCCTTTTTTTGAGTCTCTGCCCAGCTGTGAAGACCTAAACCTTTATGTTTTTTCTGTTTGAAAGATATCATGAGAGACAATTGTCAAATTGATAAAATAGCAGATAAAATAGCAATTGATGAATATATTTATTGGCTAGTGTTTACTTATCCAGGAAAGATAAAAGTGCCAAAATGTAAGAACTGTTTGTATTTTCATGTCTTCTGTTTTGCCCAGCATCACTTGGTTTTTCTAAAAGGGATTATAACAGCCGTGGGCAAACTACGGCCCGGATCCGGCCCATTTGAAATGAATAAAACTATTGAAAAAAAAGACCGTACCCTTTTATGTAATGATGTTTACTTTGAATTTATATTAGTTCACACAAACACTCCATCCATGCTTTTGTTCCGGCCCTCCGGTCCAGTTTAAGAACCCATTGTGGCCCTCGAGTCAAAAAGTTTGCCCACCCCTGGATTGTAAGTTTTGAGGTAAGGCTAGGTTTAGACTGGTTACATGGAATAGACTCCTTTGGTTAAGGTATTTGTTCCAAGAATTTGATATAATTTTGAAGATCAGTATTTTTAAACCTTCCGGTATTTGAAAAAGTTTAAAAATAAAAAATATAGTGACCTGTATTCAGGAATTAACTGTATTTGTTCTCAAACTTTTTTTTTTTTCTCACTCTTAGGTGAGCAAAGGAAATAACGAAAAATGACAAGTAGAAGACTCGAGGAGTCCATGGGGGCTGTCCAGATGGGGTTAGTCAGAATGCTCAAAGGATTCCAAAGCAAGGTTTTGCCACCCCTGAGTCCCAGGGTGGTTAAAGAAGAAGATGTCAACCAAATGGTAAGGTATCAGAGGATCTCAGTGTAAAATTCCTAATGTAGTCGCCTCAGGAGGATGACAGCTGCTAATTGGCATTATGAGAATCCGAGGGAGAATCGTTGCAGAGCAGCAGCACCTCTTAGAGGCTCAGAAGTTTTTGAAATTGCATGCATTGAAAGAGAGGCTTGAAATGCTTAAGTCAAGCAGTTGAAGTAAGACTATGAAAGCAAATTATTAGGTTTTCCAAATATTTAGTTGAACCCTATGAAGCTGTCATTTGTGTAGTTAAAAAGCAAGCAAATATCAGAATTTTACAGGTTTTAACCCGAACACTCTATTAACCTGTTAATTGGCAAGAGTTATTTTCGTTTGTATATTTGTAGAACATAGAATATTAAAATAATATTAAAATAATAATAATTTGTAGAACATAGAATATTAAAATATTAAAATAATATTAAAATAATTAAAATAATATTAAAATAATGACATAGAATATTAAAATAATAATAATTAAAATATTAAAATTATAATAATGACATAGAATATTAAAATTTTAGGAAAAACGTATGATTTTTTTCTTTCCTTTAAAATGAAAATATTTACATATTTTCATTTTAAAACTAGAGGCCTGGTGCATGAAATTCATGCACTCCAGGGGGGAGGGCCCCCCCTCAGCCTGGCCTGCGCCCTCTCGCAGTCTGGGAGCCCATGGGGAGTGGGCCTAAGCCGTCAGTCGGACATCCTTAGCGCTGCGACAGAGGCAGGAGAAGCTCTCACCACTGCCACTGCACTCGCCAGCCATGAGCCTGGCTTCTGGCTGAACAGTGCTCCCCCTGTGGGAGCACACTGACCACCAGGGGGCAGCTCCTGTGTTGAGCGTCTGCCCCCTGGGGGTCAGTGCACATCATAGTGACCGGTTGTTCCGCTGTTCGGTTGATTTGCATATTAGCCTTTTATTATTTAGGATAACAGTTGACATTCAATATTAAAAATATTTATATTGTTAATGAATTATAATGACTTGGTGAGAATTGAATTATAAACTACATGCTATAGGAAATTTCAATAACAACTTACAATGTTAGATATAGTATACACGACATTTTAAAAATGAGTCTCAAGTTACATTTTAATTAGAAAAATATATTATTCTCTTTTGTGGTGGTTATGGTTTCATATTTAAGGTAACTCCTGACTTTTTTGCTTATAAGACTATATTATTATTATTATTTAATCCTCATCTGAGAAGGATATTTTTCCATTGATTTCCAGAGAGAGTGAAAAGGAGAGAGGAGGGGGAAGAGAGAGAAACATTGATGTGAGAGAGACACATTAATTGGTTGCCTCCCGTCCGTGCCATTACCAGGAACCTGCAGCCAAGGTACATGCCCTTGATTGGAAATCAAACCCACAACCCTTCGGTCCACTGGCCAAAATCTAACCACTGAGCAACCCGGCCAGGGCTCAACTTTGTTATTTTTATTTAAATCACAGCACAGCTGATACCTCTTAACATTTTAGTATTCTAATATGGGTTCCAATAAAAAAAAAACAAACCCTTAAAAAACCAAGTTAGAAGCTATATTAGAAATAATACCTTCATTTAAATGGATTAAATCACAGAAAATAATTTCATAGGGAATTTGAAAAGCATTGATTTTTAACCCAAGGCAAAACAAATCAGCTAAATTATATTACTGTGATTGTATTTCAAAGTCTTGGCACATACTGAAGCATTATGTTGCTGCCAATGACTATGATCTCCTCGCAGCTAAAGTGGGCCCTGGGTGATGGAAATGCTCTGCATCTTGACTGTATCAATGTCAATATCCTGGTTGAGATGCTGTACTATAGTTTTGCAAGACACTAACTTTGGGGGAAACTGGGTAAATGGTACCTGGTTCCTCTTGGTATTATTTCTTATAACTAAACTACATGCAAATCTTAAAATTACAAATTTAATTTAAAAAACATTTTCCTATAATTCAATCAATCAACCAATCAATCAGTAAAATAAAGTAGGTTCTGGAAATAACGTAAACATCCCAGCACAACAACAACAACTGCGTAATAGTGACTGGTCCTGGATAACTAAGCCCTTGTACCATTATTTAAATGATAAACGGTAGGTTACATTTTCTTCCCCTCCTAACTTTAGAAAGTGTCAAAAGCATTTTGTGTTCTCATTTGGGTATGTGAATAGGGCTGGCTGCCAGAGCTGATGACTAGCTTAGATCTCTTTTAAACCAAGGTCTAAATGCACTTTTGTGATTTCTAGAAAGTTCAAACTTGTTTCTAAGCAGTGTAATCGCACTTCCCGAATCCTGTCCATTTTGTATGGTGACTCTTTAACCTGAATTAACCTGATAGTTAACGTTGTAATTTCAGTTGAGAAATAGATGTGCTTCAAACTTACCTCTGAAGCCTGAAAGTGATTTTAGAAAGGTAGGGCTTTATGTTCAGATGCCTCTTCCCAGCATAAATGTTAAGCTCTTTGGACATGTTCCTGTGCAATATCTTGACTCCCTCTCCCTCCCCCCACTCCCCAAGTTCCTTTGTGTGACTCCTCCAAGCTCATAAGGAAACAGTAACTACCTGTCATTTCAAATTACTTGCAAAGAGCTCAAAAGGACATGGCTACCTCTCTTGTATTATTTAGTTACTTTAAATATTTTATAAGGGAACTTAGTGGCACTCCAGAATTATCCTGAAAGCTGAAAACACAAATTATTCATTACTGGAACTTATGAAAACACTTTTTCAGTGTAGCCATTTATGAATCTTTGTCTCCTGTTGTTTTAAATTCTAGCTAACACCCTCGGAGTTCCTGAAGGAAATGTCCCTGACCACAGAACAGAGACTGGCAAATACACGGTTGATGTGCCGACCACAGATCATCGAACTTTTAGATATGGGGGAAGCAACACATCAAAAGGTAGCTACTTTCTGTTTTACTAGCATTTGTCTTACTAGCATGGAGAGTAGGCGCTGGCATAATGTGAACATCCCCCCCACCCCCATTGCTTTTTTAAAGAGAGGGGAAGGGAGGGAGAGAGGAAGGGAGGGAGGGAAGGAGGGAGGAACAGAGAGAGAAAGAGAGATGTGAAATAGATACATTGATTGGTTGCCTCCCCCACATGCCCTGACCAGAGTTGGGGATCAAACCTGTAACCCAGGTATGTGCCCTTGACCGAGAATTGAACCTCTGACCCTTCGGTGCACAGGAGATGCTCTAACCATAGAGCAACACTGGCCAGGGCATAATGTGAAAATTCTTGAACATAATGTGAACAGTCACTAAGTAATAGTTATTTTTTTCTGGGCCAATCTGTTATTTGTTTGCTTAACACATTCTTTTTCTTCCTCTGTTGATCTTGATACCTGTGATTTGATATGAAGAGAATTACAGTTAATTAGTACAAATAACTTTTGACTACTCACATTTCTATCTTAGCTACTTCTGGACACTATTGTTCACAGATTAGGAGTAATTCCAAGAATTATATTAGCCAAGCCTAATTAAGTTATCTTCTTAGCACAAGAAATCCCTCCTTACCTGAGCTGTCATCACTAGAAGAAATGAAAGTGGAATTATTAAAGTAGGCATTTGTTGTATATTCTGGCTCATCCTATATAATAAAAGGGTAATATGCAAATTGACCCTAAAGGTGGAATGACTAGGAACGACCCGTCTCTATGATGAGCACTGACCACCAGAGGGCAGAAGCTCAACGCAGGAGCTGTCCCCTGGTGGTCAGTTTGCTCCCATAGTGGGAGCTCCGCTCAGCCACAAGCCGGGCTGATGGCTGCAAGCACAGCAGTGGTGGCGGGAGCCTCTCCCGCCTCCTAGGCAGTGCCAAAGATGTCCAACTGCCGCTTAGGCCTACTCCCTGGCCTAAGCCAGCAGGTGGACATCCCCCTAGGGTTCCTGGATTGTGAGAGGCCGTGGGCCCGGCTGAGGGACCCTCCCCACCCCAGTGCATGAATTTTCATGCACCGGGCCTCTAGTTTCCAATAACAAATGTTTTAGTCTCTAAAGAATAGTTATTCTAACATGTTTTTATATTTTAATATAAACCATATATTCTAGGTTTTAGGAGCATATTATTATAAAATGAAGTCTTTGTTTCTTACTTTTTAATGAACTTCTTGAATTATATGCTTCACTTTTTATGTAGAAATTATGGTACAAATTTCCATCAGTTGAACTGCTGGAGATCAACCTCCTCTCAGAGGGTTCCTCACTGTCCCAGAGAGTTTTTCAGACTTATTTTCTGCCTGATGAATGAGTCCCTGAGGCTCTTTTGCTCTGCTCTTGCTAAAATACCACTGTCTCCCCTGTCAGTGGTATTTTTATGTAGATCCCGGTCCAGGATCTACATAAAAATTTCCTCTTCCTCTGAGCCCTGCTAGCTTTAATATTTATTCTCTTCCCCATAACCACACTCTAACTTTGAGGGCAGGGAACATGGCTTTTCCCAAAGCTAATTTATCCTAGTTAAGGGCTATTTGCTCCTCTCCCATAGCATAACTAGGACCAGACTGTGTGTGTTTTTGTATATATACTGCTTTTGTGTGTGTTTTAGTGTGTTTTGACTCCTGCTATGAAGAATGAGGAAAGAAGTATAGTACATCTCATCTTCTCTTTCTTTTCTCAACCCTGCTGGTTATTTTTACTTTATTTTCAGGAGTTTCATTTTTCTCTTAGTTAGATGACAGTCATCCTCTACTAACTTCTTCAAGAAGAGCTTATGGAAATGATTTCCCTGGTTTTATATGTTTGATAATATTTGCCTGTGGCCTTTCTACTGAATTGCAGTTTTGTTAAGTATAAAATTCTTGGGTCACATATTTTTTCCATAAGAGCTTTGCAGGCATTTTCCTCACAACATTTTGGCTTTAAATAATGACATATAAAGGTATGCAGCCAGCTTGATTTTCCCCAAGATAAAAGATAGATATTTTAATCTTCTAGGTTGTATGCCCAAAGATTGTTTATTTTTATTTAATGTCCAATAATTTTATTAGGTTGTACCTGTGTATTATTCCTAGAAAGTTTTCTTGTTCATGCCATTTTGGGTTCCTTTCCTTAGGAATATCAATTATGAACATGTTGGACCTTCTTTGTCTGCCCTTCTACATCTTCTATGTCTCCTCCAATCCATTTTTAACTTTCTGTTCATTTTCATTTCATTGTAGTTACATATACGAGGTTATCTTCTGTGTCCCTTACTTTGAGTTTTATGTATGTATCTTTCTGATAAAACTCATTCTTTCTATTTTATTTATTTATTTTTAATTCTTTATTCTTGCAAGTATTATATATGTCCTCCCTCCCTTTCCCCCTTTGACCCTCTCTAGCCCACCCCTGCCCCCACCCCAGGTCTTTAGCACCTATTGTTTGTGTGCATGGACTATGCATATATGCATACAACTTCTTTGGTCACCTCCTGCACTGGCCTCTACCAGGGCTGGGGAACCTGCAACTGAGTTATCCTTTGCTTTTCCAGATAAATTTTATAATCACCTTTTTAATTTCAAAAAAAATTTACTGGGAATTTTTTATTGGATTGCATGGATTTTTATATCAATTTGGGGAGTAGTTGACATTCTTAAAGTATTGAGTCTTTCAGTTCATAAACATGATATATATTCTTGTATTCTTATAGGTCTTTAAAAATTCTTCTTAGTGATATTTTAGTTTGTTTGGATAAAGGTCTTGTATATGTTTCATTGGACTTATTCCTATGTATTTTATGTTTTGGGATGCTACTTTAAATGGTTTTGTTTATAAATTTAATTTCTTAAATGTTCCTAGATAGTACATAGAAGTATAATTATTTTTTGTATGTTGATCTTATACTTAGTGACCTTGATAAATCATGGATTAATTCCAATATTTTATCTAGTTGGTTATTTTGAATTTTCTAAATAAACAATTTTTTCTTCTGGGGAAAATGACAATTTTGTTTCTTTTTGATCAGTTTTGAATGTTGAACTTCTGAGATAAACCCAATGTAGTCATGATGTATTATTCCTTTTAGATATTGTGGTTTTTAGTTTGCTAATGTTTTGTTTCTTTTTTTGAATCTATGGTTCATGAGTAACATTGACCTATAATTTTTCCCTTTTCCTACTGTCTTTCTTAGGTCTATGACAGTTAGGTTAACATCATCAATTGAGTTGGAAGATATTTAATTTTTGTTTTTCTTTCCTTTGGTAGAATTTTTATAATATTTGAGTCCCATCTTCTTTAAATGTTTGCTAGAATTTGCTTGTAAAGTTATTAGGGCCAGAATATTCTTTATGAAAGGTTTTACTTACAAATTCACTATCTCTAATAGGCATAGAACTATTTTAACTTTCTATTTCGTCTTGTGCTAGTTTTGATAAATTGTATTTTTCTAGGAATTTTTACTTTTTATCTAACTTTTCACATTTATTGACATAATATCCATTTATTCTCTTCCTTCATTTAGGTTCTGTAGTAATTTCCCTGTTTTCATTATTTAATGAGCTCTTTGTACCTTCTGACTTATTTTTTAAATCAGATTCACTAGGTATTTTATTAATTTTATTAGTCTTTTTAAAGACAACTTTTGACTTTGTTGTTATATAGTATAGTTACTTTCCATTTCATTAATTTCTGCTATTGTTTTTGTTATCTCGTTTTTTATTTGTTTGGGTTTTTATTTTTTAACTAGAGTTCCGATGCACAAAATTTGTGCAAGGGGCTTGGCCCTCGCAGCCCTGGCTTTGTCCGGAAGGTCCTCTGGACAGTCGTTCCGCTGTTCAGCCTTTTGGTCAATTTGCATATTTTGCTTTCATCATTATAGATGTTTGCTATTGATTTTCTAAATTACTGAGGTGGATGCTTACATTTTTGGTTTTCAAACTGTGTTTCAAGATGCCTCAGGGTACAGCCATAAAATTGCAGGGCATCATGGAATATTCTGGATTTTTAAGGAAATATGGCAGTACTCAGAACTTGTTGGATAGTATACAGGCTATTAGTTTGAGGTAATTCATAGTCCCAATATTAGATTATACCATCTTTTTAGCTCTTTAGTGCCTCCAAGGAAGTATTTGCTGACATAACATTTTTTTGTTATTCTCATAGTAGAATTGGTACAAATTACCTTATTCATCATTACCAGAAATGGAAGTTTTGGATTAGTGTTCTAATTATTCTCTATTATCTATAATAATAAAAGCATAATATGCTAGTTAGACTGGATGTCCTTCCTGATGAAGCCAGGGCTGCGAGGGAAGCCCAGGTCCCGGGTGCCGGAGGGAAGCTGGTGCCAGCAGCTGGGGGAAGGAAGGCCTACTCTTGCACGAATTTCGTGCATCGGGCCTCTAGTTTATTTATAAATGATCTTTAATTGAAGTATTTTCCTCTGTAGTTCTTAACTATCCGGACAGCATTGTACTGCCTCACTGTTGATGTCCTCTATGATGTCATGTGAGTGGCAGCCATCAACATTGCAGCCCACAGTCTGGGCAGTCTCAGGATCTCTTGAATGGTTCCAGAGGATTCTCTGGCTAAAGATCAGTGCTGCATCTGTCTTGCAATGTTGACAATCTCATCAGTGTCCACTGTACATAATGTTTTTTGCTTCTTTCTATCTCTTCGAGGTTCTTTGAGGCCTTTGATGATCAGGGCAGAGGCAGAAGGTACTACTTCCACCTGGGCCTGTCTGTTCTGAATGGTCCGTTTCATTGTAATCCTCAGACCCTTCCAATCACCTTCTGCTTTGGCGATTTCATCAGCAAATATTTTCTGGAGGCAGGCCCAGGGAGCCTCTCTTGGGAACCAGGGCAGACATGGCACTGACCTCCCCACTGGTGCAACCCAAGTATATGACTTTGACCTCGTTGGAGTTGCATTTTGGCAGCATGTTGGAGGCGACTGGTGTCAGATGAACCTGGATTTTGGATAACCAAAGAAAGTTGTACCTAAGCCTCCTCTGAGCTGAAAGCAGAAAGCTAGCTCCTATTTTTTTAAATGAGGACCAAAACTTCTTTTTTTATATAAAAGAAGTTGATGAAATAGCCTTAACAATTATACCAATGATTGTTTATAGTAATCACCCCTTTTCGAGTGTTCCTTTTGTTGTTAGTATTAATATTCATAGGTCTATATAGTCTTTTCTTATTTTCCCTAATCATTTTTGCATTGTGTGATTCTATGATTAATTTACTTTTTCAACTAAAGTTTTCAGATATTGACCTGGACCAGGCATTATTCCAGCCCTTTCCATCAGAAATTATATTTCAGAACTACACTCCCTGCGAAGTCTATGAAGTTCCATTGGTTTTGAGGAACAATGACAAAGTGAGTATGTTTGATGCGATGGCGCTATCTTTCATGGATACATAAGAAGGAGCAAATTAAATTGGGATCATGTAGGATCTTAGATAAATTCTTTAAGACCTAGGAAAATAGATGAAAACATACCCATTGACTGTAGGCTTAATGAAGACAAGACTCTGTTGGTTGGTTTGTTGCTATATGTATGTTCAATCCCTGGGCAGTGCCCAACAAACAGAAAGCTCCCAACGTGCACTAACGTTTTCTTGAATAAAGGATTGGCTAGATGAATGTCATGAAGTTCTCATGTGTGACCAGTGGTCTAGGCTTTCATTTAAGACAGGGTGATTACTATTCATGCTTACATACTTTGCTTTAGAGCCTCCCTAATTGAAGGTGTAAACTCATCTAAATTGTGGTTATTCAGCCAATGCTTTTATATTCTACAAATTGTATTTTCTTTTAATTAAAAAAAATGGATATCTCTTTCCCCCTTTCCTTTCTACCTCTTTTTACCTCAGAAGACTTTAGATTTTTTGTTTACAGATAGTTTTGGGCAGCTTCTCTCACTGTTTATACCTTGTCACTTTGTGGTTGCAACTGAGGATTTCTTCTCCATCCTGTGCCTTTTTCTTCAGAGATAAATTAGGGCTTATTTTTTAAAAAGATACTAAATGCCTGAAGATTTCCTTGACATATAATGATTGTGGAAAAAAAAAGAATTAGGCTGGAGGTCAGCATAAAGCACAGGTCGGTATGAAAAGTAATCAGATAGGGAGGAAAGGTCTCTGAGAGATGCTAAAGTTTAGGTGTAACGACAAGTAAAAATACTTATAGAATCTAAGAATGTGGAGGCAAATTCTCATTAACCAAGGGAATTCTCCTGACCGAGGGAAGATAAGTAAAGACTATGCAAGAATCCAAGGCAATGGGAAGACTTGCAGGTATCTTTGGCACAGTAGCTCATTAAATGAATCAGTGATGCTTCAAAGATCAGTGGGATGATTTAGTGACAGCAAAGCCAGACCCTGGAGAAAAAGGGCATATTTTGTTTTTTGCTGCAGGAGTGTTAGCAAGAGAAGCTCAAGGGATAGAAGCTGAAGTGTAGGCACAGAGAAGAAAAAGAACCCAGGTGTTCAGGATTATGTTCCTAGACCTTAAGAAGAGATATATTGCATAGACTTTAGGACTCTCTCTTTTCATATAGGGCTGCCAGATAATTTAGTTTCTCACTTCCAGTTCTCTTTTTCCCTTTCTACATTACTTTTTTTTTTTTTTAACTTTTGCATGAGTTTTCTTAGGCTTTGAAAGCCAGAGAGGAGATAGTCTAAGTCTTCAGTAGGTTGAGGGGTAGTTTGGGCCACTCTTCCCTGGCCCTAAACAAGAAAGGCATGCCAGTTGGTTTATATGGACAAGTCAAGGATAAGGGACATGTGTAAGTTTTACTGCCAAAGGCCACTCAATTCTCATGGATAACCTGAGAGCTCTTGGTAAGATGCTGCTCGAGGGTTGGACCCCATCAAAAAGGATGGTTCTCATCTAGGGAAATTCAGCCAGCAACAAGCAGACAGATTTCTCTGTGCCAGGCAGGCTTGTTTCTGGGCAAGTTACTCCCAGGGCCCTTCCTTATACTAGATGCCTGATATGAGCCTACTTCTCTGCTTCGTAGGTTCATGGACACTTAAGGAACCACTGAGATCTATTTGGGCACCGTGCCACTCACCTTTTATTGGCTTCCTCACTGGCACGGAATGCAAACAGACATAGCCTGTTTGGTCATTATCTGTCTCTCTCTCTCAAACACACAAGTTGAAAGTAAGCCATGAACACTCCACAAGCCACAACATGATTCTACTTTGGATACAATAATAATCAGCCAGACTCCAGAGGCAGACAGATCTGGGTTCAGATTCCAGCTGTCTCCCAGCTGCAGACCGTGGGCAGGTCATGGGCCATGGGGATAATAACACCCATCTCAATAAGTTGTTCGGAATAGTGAATGAGATACCGAGTGTATGCAGTTCAGTGCTTGTCACGTCGTAAGCACTATACCATTATTACTTTTATTATTATTATATTAGTGTCACTCTTGTTTTCCTTCCTAGTTTTTAGTTCACAGTTATGCTGTTATTGAAGTATTCCCAGCAAGCTTACACCGTATCACTTAACACATCATAAATGTCAGGGCACATTTCCCTTATCTCTATGAGTTTGCATACATCTCTTCCTTATCTCTTCACCCTCTGGTCTTACCTGTCTGAATTCTCTTTGCATTCCTTCACCCCTTTCCCATCTGGTGATAGCTTTGAGAGGTGGTGGGAGGTCTTTTTCCCTCCCTTTTCACCTGAGGCATCTGAGTCAGACTTGACTATAGTTAACTTTCCTTCTGCCCACTTCAGTCTTTAAAAAAACAATCCTGTCTCCCTTTCCTAGTGTCCCTAGAACCTCCACCCCTGATCACCCTCATTCTCCTCATGACTGCATTTCCTTTATTGCTTGGGCTAACTGAGAGAGAGCTACTACTCTAGGCAAGGCAAGCAAGGCAGAGAAATAAGACTTTAAAAGAATAAAACTGTTTGAAGCTGTTGGGAGACTGGCCTTGGGGACATTATACTGTTTTCTTTGTTCTTGCTTCCCAGTGGTGTTTACTTAGGACAATCTCATAGAGAGGAAGGCGGAGTTAAGCTGGGACTTGACTTGAACACCCTTGCTCGGTGAAGCTGTGGCAATAGGGCAAGTGTCTGGTTCTTCATCTGTAGAATGGGGGTCATAGTGTAGCTCAAAGTTTATTGGGAGAGTTAAGCGACACCTCATGTGCAGTGATGGTGCGTAGCAAGAGTGCAGCAAGTGTGGTTTCTGCTCCCAGAGCAATTCTCAGATGTTGGGAAATCCAGCTCAACTCGGCTGTGTGAGAGCGGTCTTGGCAGTCACATTCTTGGTCTCTGAAGATAGTCACATTTAAATAATAAAATGAACAAAGACTTAAAATAACAATAAAGTGAGTAATAATAATGTTCATGAAATTCAAAGTTAAAATACATTGATTGCTTACTTTGTGTAAGACACTGGGATAGAGGTAGGGCCTGTCATCTCCTATTACAGTTGATGGAACTGAAGTTTAGACCTGACCAAGGTCGCCTGGCTAGCGGGTGGTAGATGGAGATTTCATGTTTACCTACGAGGCCTGCACTTCCCCTTCTGCACTTTCACACGCACAGTCATCGCTCTGTGTTTTTCTTGCAGATTCCAAGGATGGTGAAAGTTATTGAGGAAAGCTCGCCGTACTTTAAAGTAATCAGCCCCAAAGACATTGGCCACAAAGTAGCTCCAGGAGTGCCGTCCATATTCCGCATCCTCTTCACTCCAGAGGAGAACAAGGTAACGGCAGTGCTGGCAAGAAATTGGTTGCATGCTTTCACCAGCAGTTTGCAATTCAGGCATTAAGGAAGTGGTGGTTGGTTTTGGTGTTGGTGTGGGTATTGGTATTGTTAGTAGGGGTATTAGCTGTATTGGTTGTGGTGTAGGTGGTAGTGATATTGGTTTGATGGTGGTAGTTGTGTTGTTGATGGTTTCGGTGGTGGTGGTAGTGGTGGCGGTAGTGATATTGCTGTTGTTGATGGTATTGGTGGTGGTGGTGGTGTTGATGGTGTTACTGTTGGTGGTGGTGGTGATGAGAGGAGTAAGACTGGGCGAGAGGAGGGGATGGCATTCCACTGGGAATGAGGATACAACTGTCAAGGAGTGTTGAGGGCTTATATGAGCTGTAAGTAGCCAGGATGTAAAGAAGGGTAATCCTTCTAAACCCTCCTCTCCCTTCTCCCCCAGCACCTACCTCAGCATATTTATATTTGACTGTACAGTTAGAGGGATACCAAAAAGGAAAAGGTGTGGTCCAGATGCTGCGAGCTAAGGCAAATGGCTTCTTGGAAGTTTGGGATTCTAGCTATTACATTCCTCTGCCCCAGATTCTAACTAGTTTTGGGAAAGAGACCTAAGATCCAAATATTGATCACAGTATCAGTCTAATTAATGGTAAAAAATGTGGCCAGACCTGAGGACTAGAAGGGGCTTCCTCCTGTTTGCCTGGAAAGGGATTGGTAGATAATTGGGCCTTGGTGAAGGGCTGACCTCACTGATAGCTCCATCCAAGGAGGAGTGGAGAAGCTATAGCTTAGAGCATGTGTACACAGGAAGAATGGAAAGAGCCTGAATTCAAAAAGAGGCCATTTCCCCTGAGCACCATGGAGCGGTGGGGAATATAACCCATCCTTAGGCTCTCCTCGCTTGAAGGAATTCCAGTTCCTCCCAGAAGGAAGGACCAGCTAAGGGGGACTGAGAGAGGAGGCTTCCTCCCTAGCCCTTCTCTAAGAGCACAAAAGTGTGGGTTGAATTTTCCTCTATATGGACCAAAGTGGGGACTTATGGGTTTTACCTGCATGATCAAAGGAGTTAGGACAAAAAATAAGGTTTAAATAGGCATGACAAAATATCAGGTTATATATAACTAGAGGCCCGGTGCACGAAATTCATGCACTTGGAGGGTGGGGGCGGTCCCTCAGCCTGGCCTGTGCCCTCTCCCAGTCCGGGAGCCTTTGGGGGATGTCCGACTGATGGGCCTAAGCCAGTGATGGCGAACCTATAACATGCATGTCAGAGGTGACACGCGAACTCATTTTTTTGGTTGATTTTTCTTTGTTAAATGGCATTTAAATATATAAAATAAATATCAAAAATATAAGTCTTTGTTTTACTATGGTTGCAAATATCAAAAAATTTCTATATGTGACATGGCGCCAGAGTTAAGTTAGGGTTTTTCAAAATAATGACACGCCAAGCTCAAAAGGTTCGCCATCACTGGCCTAAGCTGTCAGTCAGACATCCTTAGCATTGCTGTGGAGGTGGGAGAGGCTCCCGCCATCACTGCTGCACTCGCAGAGCCGTGAACCTGGCTCACAGCTTCTGGGTGAGTGGTGCTCCCCTTATGGGAGTGCACTGGCCACCAGGGGGGCAGCTCCTGCATTGAGCATCTGTCCCCTGGTGGTCAGTGCGCGTCATAGCGACCGGTTGTTTCCGCCGTTCAGTCGATTTGCATATTAGCCTTTTATTAAATAGGATGTTAATAGTGTTCGTGACATGTCATTATGGCTGGAATCAAAAGAGCATAACGGGGTCCGAGAGAACTAGATTTAAATCCTTGCTTCTCCATCACTAATACTTATTAGCTGCTGTCAGTGTCATTCCCCATATTCTTGTTTATTGCTATTGTTTCTACTTTTCTGGAGAGCAGGGATGGAGAATTTAAAATGTGATCTGCCAAGTATGTATCACTGTAGCGAGTGGTTCGAAATTCCATTATAATAAATAACACTGCAATTCTTATTTTGCCAATTTGTAATATCACTACTTCTTGGGCTGTGCTTGTGGACCTGGCATTTTGTTTGGTGTCCTGTTGAAATAAATGAAAAGATAAATAGCTCCAGAAGTAATGTCCTTTGTTAAGTGCGATTGAAGTCCTTGTTTTTCCTTGAGGCTCTATATCTGAATAGCAACTGATAAGAGAACAGCACCTGGATTTAGTTTGGGTGTCAAATTCCCACACTGACATTTCTGTAGGAAGCCAAGCATAAGCCGATTATAAGCCTTTGTGCATCTTGCAATAGAAAGCTTGCTGGACCTGAGGAGTTGGCTTTCCTTAATTTTTTTCTGTGCTGGAGAAAATATGTCTTCTGTTGGATAAGTATTTTTCTCCCAGCAGGTAGTCTGCCTGAGAAAAGGACACATGGGACTTTCTGAGGAGGTGGAATGTTCTGGATCAGTGGTTCTCAACCTTCCAAATGGTGTGACCCTTTAATACAGTTCCTCATGTTGTGGTGACCCCCAATTTCATTGTTACAAATTGAACATAATTAAAGCCTAGTGATTAATCACAAAAACAATATGTAATTATATATGTGTTTTCCAATGGTCTTAGGCGACCCCTGTGAAAGGGTCGTTCAACCCCCAAAGTGGTTGTGACCCACAGGTTGAGAACCGCTGTTCTAGATTGTGATAGGTGTGTGGGTTGTGTGGATAAACTCATTTGTCAAAATTGCACATTTAATACTTATGCTTTCCAATATACCCAAACTTTACCTTGAAACTATAGACATATAATAAGAATAGAAGGGGAGATGGATTGAGGTATAGAGAAAGCCAGAGTGGCAGAATATTAGTAATTGTTGAATCTGGTGATGGGTATGTGGGATGTGTTATACTGTTCTTTGTATATGTGTTCTTTGTATATGATTTAAGTTTTCCCTAATCAAAGGCTTAAAGAAAAGAGAGTTTTTATTACTGCTTATCTATACAGCAAATACATAATTGAAATGTATTTTAGGTATGTTTGTATTTACCTTATAAATATGGAATGCTAACATTCCATTGAGGATTACTACTTGGCTATATTTTGTGCCTGCTTATTTTTCTCCCAGGTTTTTTACTCCCTATTATCATTCCATTTCACCAACATTGCGTGTTTGCTGGGAAACCCCTGGATAAATTTTAACTGCTGTTTTACTGTTTCTTCTTCTAAGTATTTGAAAGTTATCAAAGGCTACAAGCGTGTATGCAGAGGCATAAAATGAGAATAATGGCTCCCTAGAGAACTGCAATGATCTCATTTTGCGTACATTAAGATTTTGTTTTGGATATGGGCTCGAAGCTATAATATGATTTACAGAATTTGTTTTTCTAAGGACATAGTGATTTCTCCTTTTGCTGACTAAGACTGATGGCGTGTGTGTGGAGAAGCTCTTGCTGCTACTTTTGCTTTATTTTTTCTGCAAAGATCCTCTTACACTTGCACCATCAGCAGTGTTTCCAGTCCCTGGGCATCTACATTTCCACTCTGACGGTTGGAAAGCCGACAGGGGCATGCACAGAATGGCCAGCTGGGGTTAGTCATGCTGTCTTTAGTGCTGCTCCAGAATGTAGCAGAGGACTAACTGGAGCCAGATTTATTTTAGGAAAAATAAAAGTTCATCTTTTCACTGTGTCATTTTTTCTTCAGTTGGCCAAATTGATAGCCACCGTACATATGTATTTTCCCTCCTTATCCCCTGCTGATCTGAGCACGCTCCATTCTCATTTATCCTCCTCACATCTGGAGGGTGAGATATGTAAATTGCAGTGTGCCATCGCTTAATAGGCCAGTCCCCTTTCAATCGGATTTTCAGCACCCATGTATATTAGCATGTCAGAGATGAAAATGCAATTCACATTTCCCCCCTGTCATCTATTAATCTGGCCTCCTAGGGATTGAACTTGTTAAGAATGCCAAATACCCAGATAACAGGTGCAGCAAATTTACTTCAGCTTTCCTTATCTCTTCTCACACAGACTTTAAAATAATGATTGGATATGTTATTAATCGAATAATCCTAGTGTACATGTCATCCTATCTAATAAAGAGGGAATATGCTAATTGATCCTTACACCATCACAAAGATGGCGGCACCCACAGCCAATAAGGAGGGAATATGCTAATTGACTGCCACACCCTCAACGATGGCGGCGCCCACAACCACAAGAAGGCAGTGCCCAGTCTCCTCAGTCTCACTGGGGCGCCTGCCTCTGGAGTCCCCCAGTCCCCTCAGCCCCCCAGCTGCCCAGGGCGGGCCCGAGGCGCAGGCAAACCTTGAATGGCAGCTGCCCAGCCACCCAGGGCCGGCTGAGGCTTGCGCTGCCGGCAGTGGCAGCAGCAGAGGTGTAATGAGGGTGTCACCTTCCCCTGATCGCTGGGTTGCCTCCTACACCTGAGGGCTCCCAGACTGTGAGAGGGGTCAGGCTGGGCTGAATTTTCATGCACTGGGCCTCTAGCTGAAACATAATAGTCAATGCTGTCATAATACCACAAAATTCTGGAGCCTGGCATTTTTCTTGACCTCTTAAATTTGTATATTTACTATGAAAAGGTGTTTGAAAAATAATAGGGTTTTGCAGTAAAGCAAAAGTGGGTACTTTCTTGGGCTTAAGGAAGCATCTGTTTAACTACAGTGTTATCATAGGGAAATGGCTACAGCGAATAAAATGTGAAGTGATGCAATTTTATTGTTATGTTTTAAGAAAACATCTAATTTATTGTCAAAACTGTTTTACTGATTTGTTACTGTGAAACTTAAAAAATGATGGCCCAAGAAAAATAGGAAAATGTTAACGTGTTTAGTGTTATCTAAAATGGCAATAATGAAATATATTGCCAGCATTTTGAATTAAAGTTTAGATATCATAAAATTTTCCACAATCAACAATGTTTGTTGGCAAAAAAATGTTAAGGATTTTGTGTTCTTTCTGCCTGGAATTGGCCCTCTCTAGTTCTGTCTGGGTCACCTCTGTAACCCCAGGGCCTAGCACAGTGCCTGACACACAGGATGTGTGCAGTACATATTCGTCAAGTGAGATAGGTAAGTAAAAGTTCATGTAAAGAAAATATAAATATGTGTTCTCAACCTGAGAATAGCCTACAGATGATAAAAGCAAAAAGCTTATAAAAAAGGACTCAAATGTCTTTTTGTGCCACAAGCATATTAGATGTTAACTTTCTTGTTATTTCAGCCAAAAGAAAGATGTCTGAGAGTCTTATATAAGAGGAGTTCTTCTCACCATTTTTGTTTCATGTCATCCTTGAGTCATATCACTACTTTTTTAGCTTTCTGGACTTGATCAGTATCATTTTATAATAAGGCTAATATGATGGTGTTGGGAAATCTCTTAATGAAGAACTCTTGATACTTTAATACCCAAATAAAGATATTAAAAATAAGTAATATTGTCCTAGCTGGTTTGGCTCAGTGGATGGAGCGTCAGGCTGGGGACTGAAGGGTCCCAGGTTCGATTCTGATCAAGGGCACATGCCTGGGTTGTGGGCTCGATCCCCAATAGGGGGAGTTCAGGAGGCAGCTGACCAATGATTCTCTCTCATCATTGATGTTTCTCTCTCTCTTCCCCCTTCCTCTCTGAAATCAAGAAAATTATATTAAAAAATGAGTAATATTCTTTCACTCACTCTGCACCAGGCCCAGTTCTGTGAGCTGGGATCCTTAGGAGAACAGAACAAACTTGGGCCTTTCTGGAGCTTGTGCTCCACAGTGAATAAACAAACATGCATATAATTTAATGTCAGGTATTGACCTGATAGAGAAGAGGGAGTGATGAGAGGGTCCTGTTTCCTTTCAATAGGAGAGTCAGGGAAGACTTGTCTGATGCGGTAACATTTGAACAGAAAACTAAATCAAGCCATGCACATATCTGAGGGAAGATGTGTGTCTGGGAGAGGGCAGGTTCAAAGGCCCTGCCACTGAAACATGCCGGGCAACAGAAGGCATGCGGCTAGAGCAGAGGACGCTGCTGGAAGAGCGTAGGAGACAAGGCTGCAGAGAGTGAGCATCTTAGGAATCACACAATGTAGGTCAGGGAGCCATCTGAAAGTGTCCTATATAATAAAAGGCTAATATGCAAATTGTCCCCTCGACCAGGAGTTCAACCAGCAGTTGGACCAGGGGGCGGGGCCAGCTGGCCAACCGCCTGTGGCCCTTCCCCTCAGCTGACCCAGCCCATGATCGGCCCCCTCCAACCCAATCCAGACCCCCACCCATGCACGAATTCGTGCACTGGGCCTCTAGTTAAAAATATTTTTTGTTATAGAAGCTTTCACTCATTTGTACAAGTAGAGAGAACAGTAGGTAGAGTGAACTGTCTTCCCTCAGATTTTCAGGTTATGAGTGCGTGACCAATCTTACTTCATCGATCTTGTTCCCTGCCCCAGAAGATTTGAAGCCAGCCCCATACATCATATTATTTCATCTGTAAATACTTCATTGTCTGTTTCTAAAAGATCAGGACCTTTAAAAAGTTAACATAGCCACAATACCACAAACACACCTAAAAACAATAGTTTAGGAGTGGGGGAAAGGCAGAAAGAGGATAGCCAGGGCTTAACTACACTGGCTATGCCCAACCTTGAATTCATTCAGCCTTGAGAGGCCGTTGCCTGAGCATTTAAAGGACAGAATTATTGCCATGTTTGCTCTCTCTCACAGAGCTAATATAAACTCAAGATTCATTCTTTTCACTTCTCAGAAAGCCACGTCTGCCAATTTCATACCCTACTGCTGGTGTTTCAAAGTTAAGAGGAAAGGCACGTTGGAAGGAAGGCTAATAGACAAAAAGTGGTTTGGACGTTTCATCTGGAGAGCACATGGGATAAAATTTTAGGATATAAAGTAAATTACGGCTGAGTCTCCTGTAGTAGAGGGGCCAGAGCTCACTGCTCTGGCGCTAAGCACAGCGGAAGGGAGTCCATCAGCTGAAGTAATTGCTTAGCTCGCAGTCTAACGAAGCCTCCCCTGTCGTAACACCGGAATTAATTTTAGGCCAGCACAGTAATATAAATTGTATATTACATAATCTAATGTAGTCATATTAAATGTAGAACTCTAGGGACTGGAATACATTATCGAGGAGCTGTTGAAAGAATCTCTTCATAATCTTTTATGAGTGCATGAATTGATTATGAAAAAAAATACACAGTGGTGGGCAAAAGTAGGTTTACAGTTTGTATGGCAAAAGGACGTGCAGGTTATGATTATTACAATGGCTTTATTAACGCAAAAGAATATCACAATGGCACAGTGCACTTAGGTACAATCTAGTAAGTGCTCCAGTTGCCAGCCTTCATTATTTACACATTCTTGTAGTCTTTGAATATCAGTGAACTGCCCGGCCAGTGTTGCTCAATGGTTAGGCGTTGACCCATAAACCAAGAGGTCATGGTTAGATTCCTGGTCAGATCACATGCCTTGTTTGGGGCTCAATTCCAGTAGGGGGCGGGCGGGAGGCAGCTGATTGATGTTTCTCTCTCATTGATGTTTCTATCTCTCTATCCCTCTCCCATCCTCTCTCTCTAAAATCAATAAAAACATATTTTTAAAAAAAGGAAAATCAGTAAAGAAACCTGAATTTCAGTGACCTGCAGGGTTAGCCCCACGGCCTCCTGAGGTCGTTGAATTCAAACATACTTTTTTGCCCACCCCTGTATAATTCCAACCAAACTTCAAGTCTTCCTCATTTGGACATATGAAAAGGGTTGAAAACATCCTTGTGAATATCTCTGTTGGCTTCCTAACTGTTCCCAGTTTCTTACAGAGCGAGGCAGAGAATATGTAAATATAGAATAAGATAGGACAAATTACTTTGGATCGCCTCTTATCCTGGGTTCAGCAGCAGCTTTTGTTCTTTCTCTCAAAGTCTCAGTTAATGTTCAGTCTCCACACCTGCCAGGAGCTTTCCAGTTTCTGATTCCCAACAAAACCTTTGCCTGCTAGGTTTGATCGCCTAAGAAACAATGAAAAACAACACTCACCTCTTTAGGATTCTGATGTAATCAGACAAGGCTGTTTCATTGTTGACTTCAGTGGGGTTTTCTAGGGTCAAATATGCTTAATGTAATTTGTGCTCCCCTATGTCTGGGTAACATAATTTTCAAGCCTGGCATTACCATCTAGAAACCAACTGGGGCTATCCATTTAACACATGTTAGAAGGCTGATTAGGCATGGTTAGAAGGAGGATGTGAAGGAACTGGTGTGAACCTCCTCTGATCGAAACACAAGGGTGCCATCCCCCACCCTTCCTCTCTAACATCTGGGAAACAAGAAATATAAGCTTTCTGTTAGCTTGTAGGCTTTAACACTTGAACTGCTCTCTCTGTCAGAAAAGAGTATCTCAATGAAAGTACAACTATAATTGTCTTGAGACAGTTTCATAGAATATATTAATTTTTTTTGCTAGATGCCTGGCATATGGCCATATTTCTTGCCCAATTATCTTGATCATGTTGCTGTGTCCACAGATAATGATTGTACCTTCTCCTGTAGGATTATGCCCATATGTTGACCTGTGTGACTGAAAGAGAAAAGTTCATCGTACCCATCAAAGCCAGAGGCGCTCGAGCCATCCTGGATTTTCCTGACAAGCTGAATTTTTCCACTTGCCCTGTCAAATACAGGACTCAGAAGATTCTGCTGGTCCGGAACATCGGCAACAGAGATGCTGTGTTTCACATCACAACATACAGGTATGCATTCCTGTGCCTCTTGTTTTTGATCCATGATAGCTATATCCAGTCAGCGTAGGGCATTGGCTAGAATAGCAGTTGGGGTTGGAACTGCTTGTTACAGCCTGGAGTTGCCAGGCTGGGAGATCTCACGGATGTGGGGCAGACTTCCTCTTCATCCCCAAAGGAATCCAAATTTCAAGGTTACCTGTTTGGGTTTGGAGGGTTTTCTGAAATGCTGGATGAGAGTCTCTCTACGTAGCATGGAGAATGGTCCGTGGGAATCTATTAATAAACGTTTGTTTTATCTAAGAATTTGATAACTGGCTGTACTATTTTTCTACTGCTATTATAACAAATTACCACCAACTTAGAGGCTTAAAACCATACAAATTTATTCTCTGGCATTAGACGGTCAGAAGCCTCACAGGGCTACATCAAAGGGGCCAGCAGGGCTGTGTTCTTATCTGAAGGCTTGAGGGGAGAATCCATTTCTTTGCCTTTTCCACTTCCTAGGGGCCACCCCTATTCCTTGGATCATGGTGCCCAGTTTTCTCCTCTGAAAAATAGGAAAAAGTATAGTAGCCACCTAATAGGGTTGTTGTGAGGAATAAATGAATTAATAAATGTTAATTGCTGATACACAGCAAGTGGAATATATTAAGTGTTTGTTTCTTTTGATTGTTTCTTCAAATGAGCTACGGCTAGTGTAGTAGGCAGAATAATGGTTCCTCAAATATGCCCATATTCGAATCTCAGAACCTGTGAGTGTATAATATGATATGTCAAAGGGGGTTTAGGGTTGCAGATGTCATTAAGGTTGCTAATCAGCTGACCTTAAAATGGGGAAGTTATCCTGGATTATCGGGATGGGCCAGTGTAATCAATCACAAGGCTCTTTAAAATAGAAGAGGGAGGCAGAAGGAGAGTTCAGAGTGATGAGATGTGTGAGAGAAACTCAACCTGCTCTGCAGGCTTTGAAGATGAGAAAGCAGAGCAGTAGAGAGGTTGTATAACTTGCTCAAGAGCACATAGCTAGTAAGCGGAAGGAGTTAGCGTTTCATCTGATAATTTGAGAAGTCGCTACAGGGTAGTAGACACCATGGGACAATATGAAGGACAATGAGCCAGTCCTTGCCTGCAAAGAGCTCTCTTATAAGGTGGGAAAGAACAATTGTTATGAAACTTCAAAACGGCGTCTGATCAGCAAGGCCATGACAAGAGTGACCAGCTTGGGAGGATAGGAAACAGAGGGTCAAGTTCTTTTCTATGACTTCAAAAAGTGTGTATATTGATCTGGACTGTGAGCCCATTTTCTGAAGGGCTTTATCTGTGGAATCCTTTGCTGGTTTAAGGATACATCTCTTGAGAAAGGATTAGCATTTGCTTCTGCCTGGTTCATAAAGGTTAGATTGCATAGACTCTTGGTGATTATTTGCTGATTATTTGACTTGGGGGTTCGTGGACTGAGAGTATAAATCCAAACCCCAAACCTGCATAGGACACATGTCCAAAGTTATGAATCCCTAGATAAGTTTTGTTCCTTCCTCTCAAAACCAAGACAGACATTTTTCCTTGTGCTAATGGAGAATGGTTTGGCAGCCCTTCAAGTTTCCCGGTTCTATTTTTTTTTTTTTTAAATATTTTATTGGTTTTTTACAGAGAGGAAGGGAGAGGGATAGAGAGTTAGAAACATCGACCAGCTGCCTCCTGCACACTCCCCACTGGGGATGTGCCCGCAACCAAGGTACATGCTCTTGACCGGACTCGAACCTGGGACCCTTCAGTCCGCAGGCCGGTGCTCTATCCACTGAGCCAAACCGGTTAGGGCAGGTTTCCCGGTTCTATATGGGGGTTTTGTTATACGTGCCCTGACTTGACCGTCTCAAGGCGGGCTGTTAAAGCCCGGGCTTCCAGGTTGCTGGGAACCCAGGGCAGACCCAGCACTAGCTCAGTGGCCTGCGGCTCTAGTTCTCAGTTTCTTCCTCGTTTTTGAATCTTGCGGATTTGCCTGAATTGTTTGCGTGCTCAGCCACACATTTATGTAGTTGTATTTTATCCAGTCTTTCTAGGTATTCCTTGTAGAAGAGTTTTCAACTTGCTCGGTCTGCTGCATGGTAGGTAGCAGGGCTGCCGTAATGCAGGTTGAAGGCACATCCCCTGGGAAGGGATTTGTGTTTATTCTTCCACGTGTCCCAGGAGCATCACTGTCTCTGAACCATTTCACGTAGATCTGAGTTTCTGCCTGGTATTGTATGTCTCCTCGCGGATACACTATTTTTAGTATTTCTTTGCAGCATAGGTCTACTGGAAATTCTCTCAGCCTTTATCTATTTAATGAAAAGTATTTTGCCTTCATTTTTGATAGACATTTTCTCTGCATTATGGAACTCTGAATTGACAGTAATAGATACACATATTTTATTTAGTACTTTAGCGATGTCACTTTATGGTCTATTGGCTTATATTTTTCTCATGAGAAGTCTCCTTATAACCCTTATCTTTTTCCTCGATGTCTTTTTCTTGGGCTGCCTTCAAGATTTTTTTCTTATACAGGTGGGCAAAAGTAGGTTTACAGGTGTGATACAAATATATAGCCCAATAATTTATAAATAATTAATAATGTGAGAATAAACTGTGTTTTGTGTACACACAACTGTAAACCTACTTTTGCCTACCCCTATATTTGTAGTTTTTTAGCACTTTGAATATGATGCGTCCAGGTGTGGGTTTTGTGTTTTATTTTTAAGAAATTATTTATTTTGCTTTTGTTTAGCTTTAGTTTCAATCTTGCACGGGGTTCTCTGAGCTTCCTGGATCTTTTTTTATTTTTGGAGGATCTCAGCCATGATCTCTTCAAATGTTTCTTCTTCTCCGTCCTCTCTCACTGCTTCTTCTGCTTCTCACAGGCGACACAGTCTGCAGGCGCCCATCTCCTTTGAGGGCTGAAGACTGTCCATTTTTAGATTTCCTGCCACTTGTTTGTCCTGCAACCCCAGTGCTCTGAATGGCTCAAGAAAACTTGGGATTTTGCTGTTTATCGTGGGGGTTTTTTTGTTTTGTTTTGTTTTCATCGTTAGAGTAGGAGAGACCCTCTTTCTAGCTTTCTGCATCCTAGGTGGAAGCAGGACCCCGATCTACTTCAGATAAATGCACCGTCAAAGGCAAAGGAAGAGTTCTTGTGACACTCGGTGTCTCCTGACATTGTCCGTAGCGCTTATACAGCCTGAGCCTGCCATCTCCAGGCGGGACTCGCCTCTTTTGATTGAAGGAGAAGGAAGCCGGTTGTTCAGCTGGCTCACCGTGACTTAGAAAGAACCAGTTTTTAAAAATTTAATAAAAGGCCTCCCACAACCGCCATCTGCAGTACACGTTACCACTTCCGTTACATTGGTATTCTTTCATTAGAAAAGAGAAGCCAGCTCAGGTGGGCAAACAAGTGCAGGCAGCGCATCCTCCTGGGCTGTTTGGCGGAATCTTCACAGCTACGCATACATGACAGTTTCTTTACATATTGCATTTCCGTAAAGTGAAATAAAAATCACTCCGCAGATCGAATAGTGTGAAGTGCAGGAAGATATCTCAAGCATGTGTATCCGTCACTATGAACGTGAATCACCTTCCCCTAATATAGAAACACCTCTAAGGTAAAATGGTTAGCCAACTTAAGGACTAGCTGGGAATCATAAAGACATTAGAAACTATAGTCCAACATTCCCATTGTACAGATGAAGGAAGTAAGGTCTGAGAAGGGAAATAAATGATTTATCGAAACTCCCCCAGCAAGTTATAATAGCAAAGCCTGGATTAAAATAGACATGACGCAGTTCTAGGCTTCTGTACCCGCAAATCCATTCCTCACCCTTTCCCTACAATACTCAGTGTCACCTTCAGGCTGTGTTAGTCCCTCTAGCCTCCTGAGTCAGCTGGGTACCCGCTGGGTTTGACCAGCTGGGGGCACTAGAAGGAGATTAGAGGGTAGGAAGAAGCCAGGGTATATCTCCTCCTCCCTCTCTAACTTCAGCAGAGTCCCCAGCAAGCAAATGCATTTTCCCTGTGATTCTAGCCCTTCAGACAAGCCCACCATGGGTTCCACCTTCTGCCAGGCCCCCAGGGCCTGGTCATACTTCCTCCTCATCTTTTGTCTCCAGCCCGGGTGGAAGTGGCTGTTGTTACTAATCCCTGAGTTATCTCGCTGTCTTAAATTGGGCTTCTCATCATTCCCATCTTCGGTGTAACCGAGACTCTCAATTAAATTCCCTGCCTGCAAATATTTTTGTTTTCCTGCTTAGACTTTGCATAAAATAATAGTTTTAGGTTCGTTCCACAAAATGCACATTTTCCAACCATGCTGTCAATTCTGTGAGCAACTTCAAATCCTTCCAATAAATCTCTTTTCTGCTTGTTAGTCAGAGTTGGTTTCTGTTGTTTACAGCTGAGAACCCTGAGGGTTACAATGAAAAGGGTCGCGGCTGGATTTGTGGTCACATCGTGTTGAATCAGAATCTCTGGGAGATCCCCTGGCAGGTGTCCATTCTGAAAAGCACACAGGTGACTGCTGCCCGACTGGGCTGGGGACCACGATTTCGGTTAATATGGTTGTCAATAGACATGGCAGAGCAGTGGATATGGTTTGAGAATTTGGAGTCAGTCAAAAACCCAGCATCTCTTGTTGGTCTTTACTACTTTTAGAGCCAATATACAGTTAGAAATAATATCTCACAGGAAGTAGTTTTAAAAAACATCATATTCTTTTCATTGAAATAATGATTCAATTAATGTTTATGTTCACAAATGGTTAAATTCGTATAAATTACAAAAAAGAAAAGTAACTTTATAGGTCTGTTGCTGCCGTTAGAATATGAGCTTCTCAAATGAAAGGGTTGTATTTAACTTCATTTGTGTCCCCAGCATTTAACCAAGTATCTAAAGTAAACAAGTGCTCAATAAATGTTTATAGGCTAGCACAAAGGCAAAGCTACAATAGGCTCCAAGCATTATACAATAAGCACAAGGTTCTTTATACTAATATAAGGAGCTGCACTTGCTATAAAATATGCAAAGAACATAAACAATTACTCTTCAACTTTATTACAGATTTGACCTAACACTCTAGGAGGTGCCAGAATGACTTGGATGATTCAAGTCGGATTAATCTTGGAAGGTGAAATAGAAAAGATTAAGAAGCAATTTCAAAATCTAAAACCTCAAGTTAGGAATCAGTTAATAAAAAGCTTACCTGAAGAAAAAGTACTAATATTTTATTCAATATTTAATAAAATAGAGCCAATATTTAGTCTTCTGCTAAAGCATTGAGTCATTTGGATGGAATAGTTTCAGTTCTTAAGACTTTGAACAAAAATCTTTCAAAGTCCCTTAAAATCTTTCCTGTGGTTCATGATTTTTTCACAAACCCAAGTTCCCTCCCTCATCAAGTATTTGGGATTAATGAGGATGTGATATCAAAACCGAACACTTTAGTAGGGAAAGCCAGTCTTATGCCCGGAGGAGCAGTGCTTTTAGCTCTTTGTAAGAGCATTTTCCGATATGCTCTTGATAGATTCTAGCCTGTTCAGCCTGTCTGCTTTTAGTAAAATGAAGTAAAAAAATTAAACTAGAGGCAAGGCTTAAGCACCGGAACTTAACACACTCTACCCAGTTACTGTCTGATTTACTGAGAGTGCTTAGGCAGCTCTAAGTAGCTATGGCGATCCCAGGCGATTGCCTAGGTCCAGAAGACATTTAGTGTAATACAAGCCCAACCATTAGCACAACAGCAAAGTATCTGTTACCTCTCTATGGAACTTGGATTGCTGGAGTTCTAGGGAAGGGTCACTTTTGTTTTTCACAGAAAATTGGCTTAGGCTCTGCAATGTAACACTACCCGAGTCATTTCAAAAGTGTTCTTTTGCTACCAAGAAATATTTGAAAAGAAAATGAAAGCAATTTCATTTCAGGGCAGGAAGAAAAACATTAGGAACTAGGGAGACAAAGACAGGGGAAAATATTACAGTAGATTACATTGTTCCCTAACCAGGAAACGGGGGCCAGTTCTCAACATTTTAGATTCTTACTGGGGCCATAAGGAAGGAAGGAACTTTTGAGACTGTGAGACTCAACTTCGTCTCACATGAAGCTGAAATTCGTGAGATACTGAAAGTCTGCTCCGCTTCCGTCCCTTCCACTAGGATGTGATAATCACTAATGTATGATTACAGATATTTTTATTTCCCTCTAAGAGTGGGTTGTAATTGCGTCTGACAGCCTCTGCGAGGGGCTCCTGTGAATAAAGAACTGTGCCTGGAGTGGCGAGAGACACCCAGAGTCTAACAAGGTGGCTTGGGTAAACAGGAAGAACCTGAACTTGAAGGCATGGTCCATTCAACCTCCACCACCGCCTCGCTGGGTAACTCTGGGACAGTTGCCTGCCTTTTTGGAGCGTCTGTTTTCTCATGTCTAAAATGCAAATAACAATACCTACTTTCTCAAGGTGTTTCTGAGGATTGGGGGAATTAACTAACATATGTAGAGTGCCGGTGTAGTACCCAGCATAGAAGCTTTGTTTGCTTTTCCTTTCCTTTCATCTCGAGAGTCTCTAGCTTTTGAGAGAAGCAGGTATGAAAAGTCAGTATAGTACAAGGTGAACTGAAGTAAGAAGTAAAAAAAAAAAAGTAAATTATAGCCTCTGAGAAGAAGGAGACATTATTAGCAAGAGGGAGACTTGGGGAAGATTCTATGTAAGAAGCGATGTTGAGTCCGGGCTGTGATGAGTGGCTTTGGAAGGCGTGGGGTTTGTCTGTGCAGGGGGCACAGTCTGGCTGGAAGGGAGAGGAGGTGGCAGTGCCAGGGGAGGTTATGGGTGAAGAGACTAAAGTCCCCCCATGCCATCCCACCCAACCTGACTTGGAATGTGACAGGTGTAGGGGACATTTGGACAGATGTCTGTTTTTAATGAGAATGCAAAAACTGCTTCGAAACAGATTGTGTGGGACCTCAACTGCCTAGGACTTTGAACTTTATGGCATAGGTTGGGAGGCCCACTGAGGTGTTTGAACAAGAGGTTGATGTGCTGTGACCTGTGTGTGTTCTTTATGAAATCTCTAGAGCCGTGTAAAGCATTGAGAGGAGAATTATAAAAATTTGAACTCATCTAAATACCCGGGATCATCCCCAGACTCATCTTCCATTGAGGGGCTGCCAGGGAGGGGGATGAAAATAACAATAGCAACGACAAAAATAATGACAAACACTTTTTTTTAGCACTCCCCATGTGCCAGGCATTATTCTAAGCACGTTACTCACATCGACTCCTTTATTCCTCACGAGGGCCTTGTGAAGTCGGTGCTGTCATTACCTTCATTTTATAGGTGAGGAAACTGAAGGTTCAATGGCTTGCCCAAGGTCATGGCAGAGCTGGGTTTTGAACTTACTCCATTGACTCCAGGCCAATAACCACTGCGCCATCGTGCCTGTGCAGCAATGTCTGGGGTTTATTGGGGATTGGTGCTGCAGGAATGGGAAAAGGACTAATATCAAAGAGGAAGAGTAAAGAAAGGAGAACATCAGAGAAAATAAACAATTGCCTGTGGGAGGAAGCACCACAGGTCCCACAGTAATAATCTCAGGTACCACCCGGTGCGGCCTTGGCCATAACCTCTGCACCCTCATAGAGAAAGCTTAGGTGTTCTGAAATTAAGCTCATTATCTAAGGGAGGATTTCAGGGTCTGTTGTGATATAAGTAACTAATCAGAAATAGCTTAGCCTGCCAGACGTTGCACAATGCATTACTTTGAAAAGCTAGCAATTGGAAGAAGTGAAACGGAGTGTGAAAATAATGAAGTGGGCTGGGTTTCCGATTTGGGAGGAAGAACTCTGTAAATTATTTAAGGCACTTCATGATCAGATCCAGCTTCTCGCTTACTACTCCCTTCCAGGACAATTAGACGAAACGGCTTCCAAATCCCCCCTACCTCCCATAGTGTCTATGTGCCCAAATTCTATTTTGAAGACACTGAACTTGTCCCCATCTGCCTTTTCCAATGCTCTTCACCCTTCCTTCCCCAGCTTGCCCTCGCCCAGGAGGCTGGCCTGTATGGCACAGGTCAGCGGGCTCCTGGCCTCTGGCCTGTGGTTGGTTCAGGCATTGGGAGCCCGGCAGGCAATCAGACAGGAGGATGTGAGGGCAGGAGACTTCTCCCCCTGGTGTCTTCCCTCTGAAGGGGGGCTGGCTGTCTCTCTTGACTAAAGCTCTTTGCTCCTCATAAGGTAGCGTTCTCTTAGGACTCTTGTGGGTTTTAAAAACCAATCTTTCTCCTTGGCTCTTTGGGCCTAGAGGGGGCAACAGCTCTACTGTTAATAACCTTGGATGATGGAGTGGTCTCTTGTAGTTTCCCTCTAGCCCTCCTCCTGGGCCCCTTCAGTAGATAGATCCCTTGTTAAACTGCCCTCAGATGAACCTTCTGTGATTGAGTCATCACTTTCTGTTGGGGACTCTGGTTTTTTTTTTTTCCATTATGAAGCCCTTTTTTCTCTGAACTCTCACAAAACTTGATTTGTATCCCTTCGAAGGTACTGTTCTTTTGCAAATTACATGATTTGCATCCATGTTGTAAATCTGTCCCTTACCGAATCACTCGGTGAATGTTAAAGGGATTGCCGAATGGCAAGGACACAAACAAGGATATTATCGCGTCATTTAATTTTCTCTTAAACTTGCTGATCTATTGCCGTTATTTTAACATTAAAACTAAAGCTCTTTCACATTAGGGGGAAAGTCTACTTCACCAGCACTGAGTTACAGTGTCGGGACTGGACCATCTACAGATCTAGACCTTATACCTTCTCCCCTCACACAGTCAGGAACGTGTGCTGATGGTGTCTCGTGTGTTGCAGGCCGTTCTCCGTGGAGCCCTCTGTTGGAACTCTTACCGTGGGAGAGTCCATGCAATTGGAAGTGGATTTTGAGCCACAGGCTGTGGGCAATCACAGCAAACGGCTGATTGTGTATTATGACACAGGTATGCATTCTCCTTACTTAAAAGTTCCGCCCGTTAAGAAAGGTCAGATGGAAAACACGAGGACGCAAAGCAGGGAATGGTTATTTTGGCTGCTTGAGAGTAAGCTAAGATCCGCCAGGTAAAGAACAAAAGAATAAATGCCTCCAACAGAAATAATGTTGAAGCAGATATAAACCCCACCTGACTGGTTTCTCCAACGTTTACAAGCCTGAGAAATACAGGGCTCAGGAGGGAACCTACACCCAGATGTCACCTTAGTAGATTGCGGTTATTTATATGTAAATGGAACTTGAAGATAACTTCATACCCCCATGTGTTTTCCATTTGATTTGTTGCTGTGTTTGTCTGACATTTTGAAAATATAAATCCCAGTTCAGAATGGTCTTTTGTGTGTTCACTAGTCTGTGTAAGATGCAGTTACTGTAATCCTTAGAATGTGCAAATATTTTACTTCTTTCTTAAATACAGTATAAGACGATGACTATTGCCACAGCAGTTTCTTGAAGGCCATACCCTGCATAATGATGGAAATTATTTAATTGATGGTCATGTAGACTGCATGTACAATATGCAAGTATCTAAAGTTGGTTTTCAAATTAATATTTTACCATTCCCATCTATTACTTCCTATCCTCATTTCCTCCATATTTCTTTTGAACCATGGAGTGATTCAGATTGTCTGCGTCAGAAGGGCGTTCGTTGTGGGAGAAAACAGAAGCGTACAGCCAGTAAAGAGCACCAGAAGACACTGAGGTCACAGCTCAGAGTTGCTGGCTTTGTGGATGAGAGCTGAGCAGGACAATTCAAGCCGTTGCATAAGGACACGCGGCTAAGTGGTTCTGGCTCTACATTGCCCAGCATTAAAACTGCACATAACCAGGGGCACAGTCTGTATTTCTTATCGGTTAGTGTTGGCCATAGTTCACTGGCCTCTGGCAAGAGAACCCTGACCTGATCCAGCTTAAGCAAAGAAGTTTGGGCCCATGTCACCCAACAGAGGAAGGTTAAACGCACAGCTTATACCACATCAGGGACATTGATTTTTTTCCATTTTGCACTCCCACCAGCAAAGAGTGAGTTCCAGTTGCTTCACAGCCTTGCCAACACCTGGTGTTGTATTGTTCATTTTAGATATACTCGTGGCATAAAGTGATGTCTTCTAGGGTTTTAATTTTCATTTCTCTAATGATTAATGACATTGAGCCCATTTTCATGTGCTTACTAGCCATTCATATGTTTTTATTATTAACTTTAAGAGTACTTTATAACTTTATAGTCTGAATACTAGTCATTTGCCAGATATATGTATTGTTAATATTTTTTTTCAGACTGTAGCTTGCCTTTTCATTTCCTTAATGGCATTTCTTAATGAGCAGACATTTTTCATTTTGATGAAATCCACATTATCAGTTTTTTTCTTTTAGGATTAATGCTTTTTGCCTTCTTGCTAAGAAATCTTTGCCTTCTCCAAGATCATGAACGGATTCTCCTGTGTTTACTTTTAGGAGGGTATTAGTTTTAGCTTCTAGGTTTAAGTTAGTGATTGATCTTTGATTTCATTTTTGTGTATGTGTGAGGTGGGCACCGTGTTTCTCCCCTCTCCTGCCCCCCCCCCCCATATGGATTACTAGCTCTTCTCCATTCTATTATCTTGTTCTGAAATTTTAATTAGTTACTCTTTGTTCTATTACTTAATCTATTATTACTCTGTTATTTATTCCTTTTAACCTCTTTTATGTTTTCTATTTCTTTGTCTCTGTAGACATCTCTGGATACTTCTTACCTATTCAATAATTTACTCTTCAGTGAAGTCTACTGAGTTTCAATTTTTCAATTATAATTATTTTCAATTCTGAAATTTTATTTGATTCTTCTTTAAATCAAAGTGCTCTCTACTCTTATTTTTCAAGTTTTCCTTTTATTTTTAAAATATATTAAACTTATTTATATTTTGTATCTGATAATTCAAATATATTGTCTATTTATTTATAATTTATTTCATTTGCTGCTTATTGTTTCTGATGATTTTCAATCATGTTATCTGTAGGGAGGGGAATTATCTTTTCCCTGTACCCTTCTAGGCTTTTAGCTGGGCCCCTGTAACAAAAAAAAAACAGATTATCAGGAGAAAAGCATACAAATTAATGTAATTCTTATATGACACGGGAGCCTCCAGAAGGAAATGAAGACTGGAAGAAGTGGATAAACCGAGTGTTTTTACGCTAGGTTTGATGAGGAGTGGTCAGTTGGGAAAATGTGATAGGACAAAAAAGGGTATGAGCTGTGTGTAGTAAACTTGGGGAAACAGTAAGGCCTGCTTGCTCAGCTTCCTCTCAGTGTCCCTCTGTCGTTGCAGATAAGGATGCTCCTGTCATCCACGTCTAGGAGGGCACCTCTCCAATGAAGGTCTTATGACCTGCTTGCTTCAGGGGAAAGTAAAAAAATAAAAATCCTTCCTGCACCTGCCAGGTTGCCATAATTTGGGGTAGTGTGTTCTCAATTGGCCTATCTTATGCTGCTGTGTTTTGTAAATTTTGAATTTAGCATTTCCACTTTGGGTGGGCCCTAGACTTTATGGCCTGTCCTAGGAATACAAAGCAATAGTTAAAGCAGGAGTTCAAGGGTTAACAACAGGCTTTAGGGCAAAAGACAGCATTGGCACCACATCACTTCCTGTGATTCTTCCCTTCACTTTGATGTTCTTATTTTCAAAGTCGTTTAAAAGATAGTTTATTGAGTATTTTAGTTATTTCAATCTCCAGTTTAATTTAATACCTAAAACTGACTCTAGTTTGTCTTTTTCACATTGTTCAGCATTATTTATAGAGTAGTTCATTCTTTCCCACTACTTTATAATCCTTTCTATATATCATCATTTTATATAAACATGGTTTATCCCTCTGTGTGGTTAGACTTTCTTTAATTTCAGCAGTAGTTTTCTGAGTAGAAGTTTTGAACCTTATGGTTAGATTTAGTCATATATTCATTGGTTTTTCATATCGGTGTAAGTGATTTTAATTACATTTTAATTATAGTACATATAATTTAGATGCACAGATTTTAATTGTACAGTTCAATGAGTTTTGACAAGTGTAAATACCTGTGTAACTACCACCCCGGGCATTCAATATATAGAACATCTATTATCTCAGAAAGTTCCTTTATGTCTTTTCCAGTTAATTCCTTCATCCCCATCTTAGATTTCTATTATCCTACATTAGTTTTGCTTGTTCTTGGAATTCAAATCAACGTACTGATACAATATATACTCTTTTTTTATGTCTTTCACTCAACATAATGTTTTTGCGATTCTTTTCATGTTGTGTGTATCAGTAATTCCCTTTTTACTCCTGAGCAGTATTCCACTGTATGCTCATACATAGCTTATCCATTCTCCTATTAATGTAACTTTGGAGTGTTTGAAGTTTTGGGCTACTATGAATAAAGCTTTAATAACCACTTTTCTACAACGTGTGTGTGTGCGCACGCGCGCATGCACATATATACTTTTATTTTTCAGGTAAATACTTAGGAGTAGAATTGCTGGATTGTAAGGTAGTTTATATGCCTAAATTTATTTTTAAAACTTCAAGTTTTCTGAAATGGTTGAAGCATTTTATATTTCCACCAGCAATGTATGAGGATTCCAGACATTCCCCATCCTCATCAGCTCTTGGTCATTGTTAGTCTTTTAATTTTAGTCATCCTAGTGAATGTGAAGTGGTATCTATTTTGTTTTAAATTGCCATTTCCCCAATGACTAATAATGTTGAGTATCTTCTCATGCATTTTTGACTATTTTTATGTCTTCTATTTTAAGGTGTTTGTTCAAGATTTTTACTTATTCTTTTATGGATGGTTTGTCCTTTTGTCATTGCATTATAGTCTTTTATGTATTCATTTTTTTTCTTTTACGGCTAGTGTGGTATTTTTTTCTAATTCTATTTTCTAAACTTTTGTGGGTATATCAAAATAGAGTTAAATTTTGTGTGTTGATCTTTTATCTATAGACCTTGATAAATTAACTTATTAGCTCATAATTTATCTGTAGATGATCTTACATTTTGCATATATATAATCAGGTCATCTGAAGATGATAGTTTAATTCTTTTTCAATAGTTAAACCTTTTATTTCTTATTGTGTCTTGCACAGGCTAGGCTTTTAGTACCATGTTCAATGGAAATGATGATAATTAACGTCCTTCTCTTGTTTTCAATCTCAGAGGGGAAGTGTCAGAGTGTCATCATTTAATATGATATCTTTAGTGTATACTCTCTATTAGTTAAAGAAAATTTTCTATTTCTAGGTTTCTTTTCATCTTGAATGGGTGTTGAATTCCATCAATTACTTCTGTATACGTTGAGATTATTACATATTATTTCACCTTTATTCTTCAAATGCAGTGATTGGTTTTCAAATGTTAAATCCGTGCAATATTCTGGGATAAACCCAAATTTTAAATGTTATTGTCTTAGTTAACCACTGGGTTAGATCTGCTGATAATTTGTTTGAGAGCTTAGCATCCAAATTCATAAGAAAGATTAGCCTGTCATTTTCTATTAATATAATGCCCTTGTCTTTGGCCTTAAAAAGCCAACTGGTCTCATAAAACGAGTTGGGAATTATTCTCCCTTTTTATTCTCTAAAAAGAATCTTTTATGATTCTTGTTCTTTCTTCCTTAAATGATTGAAAAATTCATTATTCAAGCTATTTGACTTAAAGCTTTTAAAAAAGTATTCAATTTCTCAGTAGACATAGATCTAAGATTTTCTATTTTGTTCTGGTATAATTTTTGGTAAACTTTTTTCAAGCCATTTTCCTAAGAAAATAAGCGGCCTTCCCAAGGTCACATAGCCAGTCAGAAGAACAGTTAGAACCCACACTCTCACTGCCGTGCAGTGAGCTTCCCCCCCATACTGATCATCTCCCCAGCCTCTCTTATTCCTACATTTGCATTTTTACTCCCATAATCCATTTACTTTGAAATGCAGCTGCATT